TTTTGAAGTGATAATCAAGATAGCCCAGTACAGACACTTTGATAAGAAGTGTGAGCATACTTACAAGGGGAGATAGATTCAATGTTTGTAATGGCTCAGCCATTGATTACTATCAATGGCACTGGACGTATCCCAAAGTGGAGGAGAACATGGCTCTGCTGTTCTGCATCCCTCGCACAGTTAATTGGAGCAAGGCTGTACATAAGGAACAGATGTTGCACCCTTTTGAAGGGTTTTGTGTCCTCCAGTCTGCCATGTTCTCCTTGAGAAGCCCAGAGGCTTTCCAGTTTAGCCAGCCTGAATGCATCTGTGGAGTCCAGCCAGGTTACACCCTCACTGCACTGCTGCAATTGCTCTGGCTTTAGTGATTAGGATAGAATCCCTTGTGTTGTAATGAGGGATGTTCTCTACAGTCTATATTTTATATAATTTAGCTAATTTTGGATTTTCTCAGAGTTTTTTATCGCAGAAAACTGTGTGTGAGAGAGGGGAGGTGTATGTATTTAATACAGTTAAATTTGTTTTATAAATAATTTGGATATTTACACCTGCTCTCCTTTTCCCCCACTTGTGTCATATCCATCAGTAACAACCACAAGTTCCATTATAAGAAGTATTGATTCCACAAAAGCATGAATGTGTATTTGTTTAACTCTCTGCAGCAGAATTTACTGACTATATTTTCAGTATATGCCCAGCAAAGTGATTGCAGACTGAGGCTTGGTATTACAATATCTCATTATGCCTCATGGGTACTTCTCTATCCTGGTGACACATTACCTCAGGATACTGTGTCTTTGCCCAATGAGCCACTGCAAGTCTACTTTTGGCGATGAAACACTGCTTTATGGCTACTTTGTTCTGGGTCTTTATACTATACTAGCTAATTCATTGTAGCAATAACAGAATTTAGATGCAAGTTGCTGGAAAAGCAATTAACAGGAGGGTGTGAGATAAAGTAGGAAGTGCCAACTTGATTTTCTTCCCTCCTCAATTCTACTCTTACATGGAACTGTTCATGCTACATTGTTTTCTGTGCATAAGAAACACCAACTTAGCACATTCACAGCCCGATTCTGATTTTGCACTAGTTTTAGGCAGTTTACCTCCATGGACTTGAATTGAAGCACTTGTGACTTAAACTGGTGTAGATGAGATCATAATCCTGCTCTCATGCCAGATATTTGTGGGCTGCACTAATTATTTGTTTTGGACCAATGTCATGCATGTTTCTCTTCTTTCTAAATTACGTGTTCCATTGTTGTCTTGCAGCACCATGTTCACCTCCATCTCCATATTGTTGGTGGACTCCCTGGATTGATCTGGCTAAGCCAATATTTGGCCCAGAAAATGGTGATTATGAAACCTATGACAAAATCAGAGAATGGAACGACTCAGCGATATGTGAGAATCCACTAAATATTTCATGCAGAGCTCAGCTACTTCCTGACTACGCCCTTGCAGATTTAGGACAAAAAGTGCAATGTGATGTTTCCACTGGGCTTACTTGTAATAATAAAGACCAAATCCCAGGAGGCATGAGTCCAATACCTATGTGCCTCAATTATGAGATCAGTGTTTACTGCTGCTCACCTACACCTACCGATTGCAACCAGACATCTACATCTACCATTCCAACGACTCCAACTGCCACCCTGACAACCACGACAACCATTCCAACATCAACTACTACCTCCGGAACTACAACCAGCACTTCAACAGGTAAGTATTGAATGGTAACTGCCCTCACTTAATGATAACAACAACATTCTGCAAGTGTTCATGTGATTCTCATTAGCCAGAGGTAACCATCATTAATAATTCAGATATTGTAGGGTGGATGCAGACGCTATAGTCAGAATTGTGCTAACGTCAGAGAGTTATGTAATGGGTTCATCTCTGATTATCCTTCCAGAATTTCTAATAAAATATTACATGACATGTAGCATCAACAGGAAAAATGTCATTTTTGAACATTAGACATGTAGTCCTAGATGTCCTTCCATGTGTTAATTTAAATGTAATTGATATTTTAAAGATATCTATTACCAACTGATTTGAAACAAGGTTTTTTGAGATTTAAGAATACTATTATAATAGAGATGTATATTACTACTTAGAACAAACTCTGGCCACAGTTTACATGGGAATAAGAGGCATGTTAAGTCCCTAACTCTTATGTAAGCTGGTTTCCACAGCTGTCCTTCCAAACCTCAGAAGGATGAAACAGGTATTAAAGAGTGTACAGAGCAATTGCTGTTACTGCTATTTAGGCAAGTGATGCTGAGCTGCTCATGAGCAAAGGAGTTAATGTCTATTATTCCTATATCTCTCCCACATGTAAGGCTTGAGTGGAAGGATTGATTGCTGCCTCACTGGATATGCATATAATTATCACATTTGTTCTTTTTCTAAATATATGCAGTCCTTGATTCCACCATTCCTATGGTGAACTCTAGTGAATAACACTGATGTTCTTATAAGAAAGACACAATCTATGTGAAGTTGAGGTAGAATTTTCAGAATCCAGGATGTAGGAATGCTCTGTACAAACTATATTTATGTCACTTAGCATAGTTTAGATTCACGGTACCTTCTGTAAAAAAGATCATTATCACAAAAGGTAATTTGATAAGAGTAGCATATGTATTTCCTGTAGTAATTTTTTTTTACAAATGATTTGGATATTTACATCTGATTTTCCTACCGTCCTCCCACCACCACAGCAACACCTACCCCAGAGACGACAACTCCTACTACCACCACAGAAACAACGACACCTACCACCACCACCACAACCACCACCACCACCACAGAAACAACAACCCCAGAGACAACGACACCTACCACCACCACCACCACCACAACTACCCCAGAGACAACGACACCTACCACCACCACCACCACCACGGAAACAACAACCCCAGAGACAACGACACCTACCACCACCACCACAACAACTACCCCAGAGACAACGACACCTACCACCACCACCACCACGGAAACAACAACCCCAGAGACAACGACACCTACCACCACCACCACCACAACAACTACCCCAGAGACAACGACACCTACCACCACCACCACCACCACAACTACCCCAGAGACAACGACACCTACCACCACCACCACCACCACCACGGAAACAACAACCCCAGAGACAACGACACCTACCACCACCACCACCACAACTACCCCAGAGACAACGACACCTACCACCACTACCACCACTACAGTAACGACTACCCCAGAGACGACAACACCTACCACCACCACCACAGCAACTA